AACAATTTTGAGAAAAGCGGCGTCGTTATGTACATTTTTTTATTATGATTATTTCAAAAACAAAATTGGTTACCAATTTTGGGAAACCCGTGTTTTTAGTACGTTACCCCTTTCATACATTTTCACCATTTGTGCATCAGTGCTACTAGCTGCGGTGCTGTAATTGTCAATAGCTTTTAATTAATAAAAAAAAAAAAACAATTTTCTTTCAAATTTAAATATATTTTTCCTACAGTTTTTATTTCAAAGCATCTAATCCGTTCATCCTAATGAAACAGTATTCATTTTTTTATGGATTAGAACCATGTCATGCTATTTAAAATTAAATAAAAGCGCATTAAAATCTAACAAAATTATTCAATTAAATTATTTACGAGCTGATGAAAAATTCTGAGTATTGTATTGTATTGACATAATTTTTCCTTTTGTAAAGTAATTAGTGTTCTCAATGCCTTTTTCTTTTTTCGAATACCAAGGCTGAAAAACCATGAAGTTCAGTGGATGAAGTGAATGTGACATTTTTAAAAGAAGTGATTGAAACTGGCCTTTAATTCGACTGACTAAATTAATTTTGAAGATATCCTTCCTGCTGTGCCGTTAAAGTGTGTTTGCATTGTTCAACTTTGCGTTCAACATTTGCGTTCAACTCAGCGCAAGGTTGCACGAAAAAAAAGTTGAATGGCTAAAAATATCAAAATATGAAAAAATATCAAAATATTCGCCATAAAAAGGTGTTTGCATTGTTCAACTTTTGGTTGAATGGCCTTTCAACTAATCGCTTTCAACAAAGTTGGTCGCCAGCCAACATTTAGCCATTCAACTTTTTTTTCGTGCAACCCTGCGTTGAGTTGAATGCAATTGTTGAACGCAAAGTTGAATAATGCAAACACTGCTTTAGTGTAAAGATCAAGTTGTGTTTTTCGCACTCAATACTTGGCTGGTATAGCCGAGCTTAAATTAAAGACGGACGCTCTATTCTTTTTGGTATTCATTCTTTTGTCGATTAGTATTTTGGTATGTACTTCATATTTTCTTATTTATATACTCTTTTTTTAATTTTCTGTGCCTGTGCTTGTATAGTACATACAGTTTCTCATTAAAAAAAAAAAACAACAGAGTTGAGCATTTTTTGGGATGGCTTAGTTAATATAAATCATTTATTACTGGTCCTAGATTGTATTTTCTGTTTAATGAACAGATATTCTTTGCAAAATATTTACTTATAAAAAAACATTTATTGATTTCTTAAACTGGAAAAGAAATGAACTTCTGTGCTCATGCTTGCTAATATCACGCTCAAGAGACACTCGTATTTCAATCAGTTAATCTTCCAGCAACGAAGTTCTGCACTAAACGCTCATTTTTGGACATCTCCCATAAGCGGATATATCCCATAGCCACATAAGTAGAAGAGCTGTAACCACAGGTAAAGCGCCTTTAAGAGCTTTTGGTGTAATCGAGTTGGCCTACATACATACATATAAGGCATTAAATACAATCCTATGTAGTACCATTCAACTGGACAATTCCTGAGGAGGTACGAACCGTCTACAAGGCAAAAGTAAAAAAAAGCACTGTGACTCTCACTACAGACCCTAATTTAATCTTCGCACTTTAATTATTGCAAAAACTTTAGCTTGAAAACCCCAGGTGCTATCCAGCTCCAGCTATAAGTTTTTCGTAATTTAATAGTCCTTACAGTGAATACTTCAAAACCGGCTAGCGAACATTTTTTCTTACCTATGGAAAGTGTAAAGGCATTCTCACAAATAATCAGGGAAAAAATTATTCAGCTCGGTGATGTAAATTGGCTACCTTGAAGCTGCGATTTGACGCCGTTAAACTTTTTTTGTGGGGTGCCTTGAGTATGCGAATACTTTGTTAACGATTCAGACCCTCAAGCCGAATTTCGAGCAAGCCATGCGTAAGATAACTGGGTTATTTGTTTTTTTTTTTGTTTTTGAAGAAGAAGATGCCGGCTCGGGTTTCTATCTCTTCCGGGGATCGTCTTTAGGAGCTTCAATAATTACACAAGAGAAGCAAACACATCAAAAAAAATAAATACATACATATTTATTTCTTAAAGAAACCACTATATGGTCTATCCTGGTATTTTCAAATTTAGCAAAAGAAATAAATAAAAAAGCTGGGAAAATTTGTCTATTAAAAACTGGTTGAAACAAACTTCACATCTTTATAAAAAGTGGTTCGAATCAAACATTTGTGGAAAATTTCGATTCGATTAATGGTTCAGTTAATTAGTAGAAAAAAGCGGATTAATCCGGTTTAAAACTGGTTCAGTTCAAGTCCTTGCGAATAATGGCATGGAATTTTTTTGAATTGCAAAGGAGATATGCTGACTGGCATTGTTAAAAAATCTCAAAAAACAAAATAAAATTTTATTTGACATCGTCTACCTGTTTCGTGTGCCATTCTACACTCGAATCTAACCACTTTAAAATATTGCATTTCACTAACTAATCGCATACTCTTAGACTATCAAACATTTCTTAGGTTTCTACAATTATTTACCACTTATTCTGTTTTCCAATCTATGTATGTATGTATAAGTATAGTAAAATTTATGCTAACAACTTTTTCATAACTAAATTCACTTGTCGCATTTTCTGTTTTATGTCTACGAATTTTAATTTTTCGGCTTTAGATTTTCTTACTGCCTCTTTATCGCCATTTTGGGGCATTCAAAACAAGTGCGAGTTTTTCTACGAATACTTACTAACACGCTATAACTTTGTTTTTTTTTTTTTGTATGCAGTATATTAAATATTATTTAGTATTTAATTGCATTTTTATATTTCAATTTTCTTTTGAAAATTTTACTATTTGTTTATCAATTCTGAACTTTTCATTTAGGGGTTCTTTTTTCTTGTATATTTGATTTAAAAGGTATACACTTTCAACTAACAAAATATGTTTGTGGGTCTCAATAAACGTATACAGTAATAATAATAGGTTCATTTTTTAAAATACATATATTTTTTTCTTTATTTTAATCAATAATAACAACAATCAGTTTTTATGTCATTTCACTTATTGTAAATAACATCTTTGTGTGGTTCACTTGTTTTACATGTACGTTTTGTATTTAAATTTAATTTAGTTACAATTTATAAAAAAATATTTATTATAGGCATTAAACTAAATTAAAAATACTTAAGTTTTAAATGTGTTTTTTTGTTTGTTTTTTATTTTTAAAATTACAATGTGCATTTGTATGGGTGTGTGTGTGTGTGTGTGTGTGTTGGTTGTGTGAATGTGAGTCGATGCGTGGTCGTTCGTTAGGTTGGCGTTTATATAAAATTTAAAATAGTTTTTTTTTTAATAACTTTGGATTAATATGAGGAAATTATAAGCATAATATACAAACAAAAACTATACATGAATATTATAAATATTTTAAGTGTGTTTAGGTACTAAAAAGTCGTTGAATTTGGACTTACTTAGGCTTATTTTTGGACAGACAGTTAGGTAAAAAAATTCGTTTTTGTAGGCATAGATAGAAACAGAGTTTAATAAAAGCAACAAAAAGTAATAAAACTTCGAAAATTAAATAAATAACTCACAGG